GAAATCATATGTTGTATTTTTAATTTAACAGAGAAAATGATCCAATTTAAATCGCTTGAAATTTTTATATCCCGCATATTCGCATGACTACACACACAGTCTAAAGATAGAATATTAAATAAACCTTGATTTGGAGTTAACATTAAAACAAGATAATAATAGGTATCACACGCTTATACATACATACAGTGTGGATATTTTTCTGTTAAGTTGTCGTGTATGATTAAAATAAAAATCATGTACAATTAAAAGAAAACAAGAAAACAAAAATTTTGAAAACGTATGCTTCAATATAATAACATAATTCCTAATGTCATTTAAAGCACATGATAATTGTTTCTTAATTTCTTAGTATGGACCTTAGCAGAATTAAAATCATGTAAGAAATACGAAGAAATTGGATAACAAAAAATCAAAGTTATCGATTATCTATGTAATATTTAGTTTAATTTATTACATACTTTTATATCGGAGTTGAAACGTAGTCTAGAAAACAAAATTGCTTTCCAACTTTTAGTAAAACAGAGATATCACTATTGCGCATTATTTCTCCTATCTCATCTTTTAATATGATTTTGTGAAAAAACTCATTTACACCAATACTGTAATGCTCTTATTATTATTGGGTTTACTATCCTTTTCTATATATATATTTTTAAATCTAATAATTAATAAACATTCAATAATAATAAAAAATTAAAAATGTGTTTTTAACTGAAGCAATGACTTTCATTCAGGAATATTGGCTTGAAGGGTCTTTCTCACAATTTCTAACTTGATTGATGGTACTTTTTAGATAATTGATCATTGCGAGATATGTCTCGAATATGTACGTGTTCAGATTATTGTTCGACCCCACTTTATTCATTCTTTAAATGTTTTCTTTTCCTGTAACGAAAAAGCCAACAGAAGTAGATATTAAAAAGCTGATCGTTCACCAAGACTTTACGGAGACTACGTTGCTCAATTCGGGAGCTTCGTTGGGGGTGAGTAAGGATATATATTAAAAGAAAAGTAACAGATAGATAAACGGTAGATAATAAAAATATAATAATTTATATGACGAAAAATAACAATTTGACAAAAGAAAAACCGGAAAAACTGAAATAAGCTAAACTTCAAAATAAAGATGGCGCGAATAACTCTTAACCAGATAGTCATATACGACATAAAATTAAATTAAATAAACATTAAATCGACATTTCACTTAAAAGGCATAAAAAACAAGTCAGAAAAAATATCAAAGAATTATCAAAGAAAATTATAAAAATCAACATCTATATTTATAAAAGGCTAGGACCAAGTCACACTATTTGTACGGTAAAAAACTGGTATGGCTGTCCAGTGGGACTGCCGGTAGAAGTTATACTTCTATACACGCGTTCGCCGTTACAAATTTATATGGCAGTCAATCAGCACAATCATTACATATTTAATGCTATAGGTAAGATAGAGCAGAAAGAGAAAAATAATTAGGTATATTGGTATATAGTGCATCGTTTGCTGTATATAAACATTTGACCTGTAATAGAAGCATAGTAAATGAAGGATTGTATCAATATTTTAATAAAAATATATATTTTTATTTTCATATATCTATAAAAGGAGTTGAATGCAAAAATTTTTTTACACATACTCTGCAGTAAAATTCATTGTTTAATTTGTTATTAATATAAAAATTACAATACAATACACTGCAACATAATTCAATATAATAATACATACAATACAAATTAAAATGCAATATTCATAAGTATTTAAAACTGCCAATACACATAACTTACTTTACTAAGAAAAAAATAAAACACCAACAACTCGGATTATGTTGTAAATTTTCATTTTATTTTAAAATTAACCATTTTTGCGTATATTAAATATATTTAAGATTAAAGTGACGTTTTTAAATATTTCAAAAATAAAAAAGGAAATTCATATTGGGATTTGAACTCACATATACCAGCGTATGAACCAAACGCGTAAAAGATTTGCCAATTAGACATGACACTAACGGATTTCAAAATTGACAGTTCTCGGTCATACAGTGATTATTTTCAAATACAAAAGCCTAAGATAATTATGAACATTTATTAAATAATACAAAACATATCGCATATAAATAATAATATTAATATACTCGTATATTATATATATATATATATATATATATATATATATATATATATAATATAATATTATGTATAATATATTTAATATATATAATATTAAATATATATATATATATATATATATATATATATATATATATATATATATATATATATATACAAAAGGAACATTTTTATTCTCGAGAGAGAAAGAGAGATAAAATATATCTTCTGTCTCTCTCTTACTCATATCTTACATATGTAATGGTTTCACAGATTCACTCCCGTACACATTTCCAATGTTGAGCGCGCGTATTGAAGTATAACTTCAATAAAATTAAATTAAATTAAAATTAGATAAAGGTTAATAGAATTAAATAAAATTAATTAAATAACGTTAAACAGAATTAAATATAATAAAATAAAATTAAATAAATAAAATTAGGTAAAATTAAACAAAATTAAATAGAACTAAAAATAAAAAAAAATTAAATACAATTAATTAAAACTAAAATAAAATTAAATGTAATGATTTCATCAAAATGAAGTTATTAAACATAAATATACAAGATAATGCTAAAAATGTAAATGATACATTTTACATAATTAGTCAGCTAGAAAAAATAATTTTGGTGTAAGTTTACATGTAAAAATAAACAATAGTGGATTAATACTTACAATTTGTAGGTTTTTTTAGCTGTTACAAAAACTGCATGGTTACTTAACATTAAAACAAACGACTTACTAAAAACAAAAAAACTAAAATCGAGCACTACTATTCATTACTTATTGTGTGGTGATTTCACCTGACGTTAGGTCAAAAAATATTGTGACAATGGACGCCAAAGAAATGATCGAATATAAGATGATCTATTATACATATTTTATATATTGCATTTTGGTTGTTTCATACTGTATATAACTGGGTTTGTTTATTGTTGAATACTATATGGATCTTTCAAGAATGTACAATAATTATTGCATCAGACACAGTAAATAAAGTCAGGTGTGTGCATATTGATACGTCACGCCTTAGTGGTATACTCGTATATTATTTAATTAGAATATTTGCTACATTTTTTTAATAATTAATTTTGATCGTGGAAAAACGTAAAAAATAGAAAATAACTTAAATAATGAGTACTATAAAAATCGTATTTTTAGGGTAATTGTCTAAACTATTCAAATTTCAGAATTGGTATATTTTCATGACTCTGGCGCATAATCAGGCTGAATTTCACCGATGGCATGGGCTAATTGACTTGGCATCAATCTATAGCGCTCGCCTTTGATGGTGTTGGTCCGACCAACACCGTTCTCAAAGAAATGTGGACCGATCACGCCGCCAGCTCAAAATCCACACCCAATAGTCAATGCATTTCGCGATGCATTGGACGCTGTTCGATCTCATCTGGATTGGTATCGTTCCAAAATCCACAATTCTGTTTCACTTAGAGGTCTCTTAAGATCGTGCTGTCATTATTTCTAACCATCCAGTAAGTTGTCATTGATGCAATGGAAACACGCAAATTCTCTGCCACCAAAGAAATTTTAAGTTCAACCTTCTGTAGACAAGATCATGTTAATTTTTTTTTTTCGACCATAAAGGACCCTTACTTATAGGATTTATGGAGTACATATCAACCCAAACGTGTGTAATGAAACTTTGAACAAACTCTATCAAGTAATAAGACTAAAAAGGTCCAGAGCAGCTCTCACCTGGTGTCATTCTTCTACACGACATTGCTCGCCCTCATGTTGCCAAAGTAATGGAGGATATTAGAGTATCCACCCTACGTGTGGAAACTGAAAAATGCGTTAAAAAGTTATCAATTTCAGTTGGACGAAAAAGTATAAAATGCCGTGAAACAATTATTCTAGAAACAGCCACAATGATTCTTTCAGCAGGGTATACATCGGTTCGTAAAACAATGGGATATGTGCCTTAATTATAGTGGAAATTATTTGTAGATATACGTATTTGCAAATATTTTTTTTTTGACCAACGATAGGTTTCAATTGAACAAGCCTCATACATTAAAAGACTTTTTCGAAAGCTACTTAACAAAGAAATATGGATATTTTGATTTATTTATGAATCACTATAATATTGTTTTTTTGGGACTCGAACAGTGATATTTTTTCTTTCTTTTAAACTTTCTAGGGATTTCGTCTAGAGTATGAATGTAGGATAAACAGTGAAAAACGTATTTATTGAAAATAAAAAAGTTTGTAAAAAATTCTCATCAAAATATTGTTTTCTGACTTCTAACGGATCAAAATTAAGTGCATCAACATTATAAAAAATTTTATTTAAAAAATCCTTTATAAAAGTTTATATATATTTAAAAAGACCCTTTCGGGCTACATCACAGACCATTTTTAGATTAACGAGTCCATCATCAGTGAAGTTACCAGTATACACAGGTCAATCCACTAAATATGGGGGTAAACACTCTTTAAATGATATTAAATGTGTTATTTATTACATATTTGATAAATCCGTATGATGTTAAAGTTTTGAAATTGGGGTTGCTGACCCTGAGTCGTAGTCCTTATATATGGGCCCTAAGTAGCAACTGAAGTTACTACCTCAGTTGCTGCCTAGGGCCCATATAGAGACTACGTCTCAGCAAATAATAAAATAAATAAAATACATTATTTAAGCGTGTGTGCCTTAATAACTGACATACTAATCTATCTCTGGTAATTGATCACACCTCTATTTGTAATGTGATTTCTTAATGTATAAAACAACAAAATCTTGGTCAAATCAAAATTTATAATTTAATTAAATTTGAATTTAAACTTCTATTTTTAAAAATGTTGAAAAAATAAGTGCAAAAAAAGTTTTTTATTGCAACTAAATTCTAATTATATGTTTTTCTCTTACAGAGCGATTCCGTAGAATATTTCCTGAATAACCTTGAACGGATATCCCGACCGGACTACATTCCCACCAACCGAGACATCCTCCACTGCCGGAAAGCCACCAAAGGTATCACGGAGTGCGTCGTCCCAATTAACGGCATCCCCTTTTTGTTCGTCGATGTAGGCGGACAACGGTCACAGCGGCAGAAATGGTTCCAGTGTTTTGATTCTGTTACCTCCATTCTCTTTCTTGTCTCGTCTTCCGAATTCGATCAAGTCTTGTTGGAAGATAGGAAGACCAATCGGTTAGAAGAAGCTAGAGACATATTCGATGCGATTGTCAATAACGTTATTTTTATCGGCGTGGCTATTATGTTGTTTTTGAATAAATACGATTTATTGGAGAAGAAGGTGAGTACAGTGAATACTGTTTAATTTTCAACGTGAGTATTAATATGTGATACATTTATTAGAAAAATAATACATTACACTGTATTTTTAAACTACTTGATAATATCCTTTCTCAGTTACTTTTGTGTAATTTGTGTGTTATTTAAAGTTTATATATTTAAATTTACTTTTTTCTCTATAATTTTTTTTTAATTTCCTTTCTCGTGTATTACATATTCAATCTGGCACATACACAATATGTAAAATCGGTCGCAAAGAAGTCTTTAATATTAACTTTCAACTGCTTTTTAAGAGATTTTCAAAATACATTTCAAATGTATCCAAATTAAGCTTAAAACAGTTAGGAGGCAGACTGCTAGCCAAAGAAGTAATAATACGAAGCTTCAAGATACAAACATAAGTACGATGGTTGCAAATTTACTTAATGCAAGTATAGTGAACTTAACAGAATCAGATGGTGATGGAGAAATGAAACAAAACTAAGCAGACCATCACCAATACATATACACTAAGCAGCAAAATTAAACCAGCTTAAAATTGGGCCATTTTTGATGTGTCGAATTTCCTAAACCTGTTGTCCGACTTAAGTGATTTTTTATAGCCTTATTTCTTATATTATTTTTATAGCCTTATTCTATAAGAATATCGCTGTAATAATATTGTTGCTATACAGGTAAATGTCATTGTATACCAGGTGTAACAATTATACTGTGTTTTTTCTTAGAGTTCGGAACACTTTGTGGAATATTCTAGCATTTATAAAATAATGAAATTAAATCTCAATTGTAGCCTTTGGCTCTCTTAACATTTTGTTCTTGTATTCAGTCACTTATGTTCTATAATAAAAAATATATATACTTAATATGTTATAATACAAAACCTTTTAATTAGCATAACGTAAGAAGTACAGGTTATAACATCATTGAAGTAACAAAAATAAATCAATTCAATACGCTTCAGCAGTGCGTGTTTCTTCCTCTACTTGTAATAACGGATTCACATCGACGAGATAAACTCGAAATGAGGTTTGCTATTAGGTCTTGATCAATATCACCTCAGATCTCGAGAGCTACTGTTTAGATCTCTTGTTAGGTTCTAGGAGGTAGCACACGCTATCATAGTCTTTTGCCAATTATGTCCCACAAATGTTCGATCGGGTTAAGATCTGGTTTATGTGGTGGTCAATTCAAAGTCCGAAGATTTACCTGTTGTAAATATTCGATTACAGTTCGTGTAACGTTAGGTTTTGCATTATCGTGCATTAGCAAAAAATTGTTACCAATATGAGGAGCGAAAAGTACGACATGCGACGAAAAATATTTTGTTCTTAGCTGCTTCAATCAGTCTTGCCTCTCTTATATGATTCAAAATCCGCGGTCGGCCACTTTTACGCAAGTTAACACATGGTATCTCTTCTTCGCATTCTCTGATTGTGCGATAAATTGTCTATTTGCTTATGTTTTGATCTCGATAAATATTAGCAATATCTCGTTTCGACATTTGCCCAACCATATTATAAACATCTCGACGAATATCAGTTTTATAAGACATTTTGCAGAGCACAAACCAAAATATTCTGCTTTGTTTATTAAATGTCAATAACTGATGACATTTCAATTCCATGGCCTTCTTTGTTAATTGCATTTTGCTTCTCAATCAGACCAGGTGAAATTTTTCCCAAAACTTTAGGATCGTACGTTAGCTCGCGGTCTAATTTGTCCAGGACGTCTGCTGTAGTCGCTTATTTCTCTAAAGAGTTTAACAATACGGGAAGTTGATGTATGTGAAACTCCCAACCTCCGACCGACAGCATGGTAGCTTAGTCCTTCAACCAGCCATGTAAGGTCAACGCTTTAACACATTCATTACGGCTCAAATTCCTTGTATCGCGTTTCATTTCCACCAAACAACAAAACGAATTACGGATTTCATTGAAATTTTAATTAATAAATCTACTAATTTTCAGAACAAACAAGACACTTTTTGACTGTTTAAAATTTTACATCATATCAAATTGTTATTATTCAATAGCCTACTTTAGGCTTGTTTATCAAACTAAGCAGAAAATGAGGATTTATTGATGAAAAACATGGTTAGTTATTAAAGTAGCTAACTTTTTTATTATCCAACACAAGCGAATGAATAAAAAAAAACAAAATGTTAAAAAAACTTGAGGATATAGTTGGATTTTAATTTCAGTATTTTATAAATGCTAGAATATCCCACAGGGTATTTCTCAATCTGATTGGTACACCCGGTATATAATGACAATTTCAATTTACCTGTCTACCGATAATATTACAGCGATATTGACATAGAAGAAGGCTATAACATATTCAAAAATCACTTAAATCGGACAATAGGTTTAGGAAATTCGAGACATCAAAAATGGCCCAATTTTAAGGTGGTGCGTTAGTTTTGCTGCTTAGTATCTATATAATATAAAAGTAAAATGTAATGACATGTCTCGCAAAACAGGAAAACAGAAAACACAATAAGTATATCGATGGAAGGCAACCGTATATACGTATTTCTGACTATTGGTCATCTTCAGTACGTTGCAACCAAGTTAGAAAAGGAGCAGTTAACTTGAGAAAGGATGACTACAGGAGCAATGCGACCAATTTGTGGCATTAGAGTTAGAAGACCCCGATGGTTTCCAGGAAAACAGCTAACAATAACCACGGAGGAAGCTACAGCTACCTGAGAAAAGGAATGCCAAACGTTAAAACGGTTAAAACAAATAGAAAAGGTTCTATATATCTAATTAGCCTCCAATCCTTTTCCATTCTTCTCTGTCTGTCGCCACAGTCATCCACCTAGAGCCCACGTGCTTTTTGATATCACCTGCCCATCTGATTTGGGGCCTTCCTTTGCTTCGTTTGTATTCCCACGGTCTCCAACTTATAAGAATTTTGTTCCATCGGTCTTCTTTTTGTCTTATATTGTGTCCGGCAAATCTCCATGTTTTGTTTTCTCTCTTATCCACTCGTTTCTCTTTTTATGCATTAGTCTTATGTGCACCATTTGTCTTTCCATTGCTCTTTGGATTTTTATGATTTTGTCGATGTTTGCTTTTGTAAATGTCCACCTTTGGGAACCACAAGTAAGAACAGGGAGTACGCATTGATCGTATGCTTTGGTCTTAAGATGCTGTGGATATCTTTTGGTTTTAAGAATGTTGCTTAGTTTGCCAAATGCCAGTCTAACTCGTCTTTTTGTCTCTGCTGTTTGGTTTTCTTTGTTAAGTTTTATAGTTTGACCCAGATATTATAATCCTGAACTTGTTCTATTTCATCTTGTCCGATTCTCATGGTGATGTCTTCATCGGTATTTGTTATGGTTTTGGTCTTGCTGTAATTCATATTAAGGCCTATCTTTCCAGATTCTACGTCCAGTTGTTTCATCAATTCAAATAATTCTTCTTTTTTATCGGTTATCAATACGATGTCATCAGTGTACCTTAGATAGTTTAAGCGTTGTCCACAATTTTTTATATCTTTTTTTTTTGCCATTCAAATATTTTAAAAATACCTTCCAGAGCCTGATTGAAAAGTTTCGGTGATATTGTGTCACCCTGTCTCACGCCTCTATTTATTTGTATTGATTTTGTTCCTTCATATACTTTAATTGTTGTTTTCTCTTTCTTATATATCTTGCCTATTAGTCCCGTATATCTGTGGTCAATTCTGCTGTTAATCAAAGAACTTTTCACTACCCAATGTTCGAGACTGTCGAAAGCTTTTTCGAAATCTATGAACGTCATATATAGAGGAATGTGGTATTCATTTGCTCGTTCTATAAGTATTTTCATACTTAGTAAATGGTGACTTGTGCTGAATCCCTTTCTAAAACCAGTTTGTGCTTTCGACTGGTATCCGTCGAATTTTCTCGTCAATCTATTGGTTCAAATTTTTGTTATAATAGGAGTTTATACATTACATTGAGGAGTGCTATAGGACGGTAGTTTTTTATATCCGCTTTATTCCCTTTCTTGTGTAGGATAATGGTTACGGACTCCTTCCAATTGTTTGGGATTCTTTTTTCTTTTAATATCTTGTTAAAAAGGGAATGTAGAGTATTAATTATCACTTTTCCACCATATTTCAGCATCTCTGCAGTTATTCCATCTTTTCCAGGCGATTTATTGTTTTTCATTTCCTTCAATGCCCTCTTTATTTCTGATTTGCTTATTTCTGGCTGTAGCTCTGAGTTGGCATTTTTTTATTTTAGCCTTAAGTTGGTTTTTAATTTCTTCTGGTGGTTCCTTTTTTGTTTTATATAATTCTGAGTAGAAATGGTAGAATATATTTATGATGTCATCTTTAACGTTTGTTTCTACTCCGTTTACATCTTTTATTTTGTTTATTTCAAACTTACCTAATTTCGGCCTTAAGTATTTCATATTTTTGTTGTTCTGTATTACTTTTTCCATTTTTATTTCTTGTTCTTTTCTCTTATTTTCTTTTATTATTCTGCTTATTGTTTTATTGATTTCTACATATTCTATAGATTCCCTTTTATTCATAGTTGTTATATATAGTTATTCTCTTTTCGATCCTTTTTTGCTATTTCTTTTCCTGATGTAATCATCGTTGCTGTAAGTATGTTGTCTATTTCGCCCATATCTTTATCATCACGGTCTAATTTTTGGATACGTTGTTCTTTTAATATGTCTTTGTATATCTCTTTATATTGCCCTAGTTTGTTTCTATTTACTAGATGCCAGTTTATTATAGCCATCTTGTTATCGCTACCTGTTGTGAATCTGTTAAGAACTGCTACATCCTTAATGGTATATCGTTCCGTGGACAGTATGTAGCAGATCTCATTTTTTGTGGATCCATTAGGGCTGATCCATGTCCATTTTCGTTGGGGCTTCTTTTTGTAAAAGGAGTTCATTGCGTATAGATGCTTTGCTTCTAGGTAGTTCATCAAAGTAGCACCTCTATCATTTCTCTGACCATACCCGAAATCTCCTATTTTAGTTTCTTCTTTGT